ATATATTGTATATATATATATATATATTGTTTTTAAATAATGCATATATGGAATATATAGGGAAAGTCAGGAAAAAATTTCAAAACAGCTCCATGGAGAAACCTGAGTTTTTTGCCCTGAAGCAAGTTTATTCTTTACTCAGAGATGTGGCCCCCGACAGTTCTAGAGGTAGTACCTCCCTATATAAATATATATATATTGTGTGTGTGTGGTGGTGGTGTGTGGTGTGGTGTGTGTGTGTGTGTGTGTGTGTGTGCGCGCGCAATAATCGCCAACAATGCTATCCAGATGATGCAAAACAACCACAGGGAGTTTAAATGACAGCTCTAGGCCTTTCGTGTTGCAACCAACAACGATCGGAGTTGCAGTGGTTAGCAAAAATGAATAGGAAGCCCCAAGAGTTTTCGCTCAGGGGAATCGATTAAACATGGTTGATTGCAACACGAAAAGTCCTATCGCTATCATTCAACTTCCACAATGGTGTTTTGCACACACACACACACACACACACACACACACACACACACACACACACACACATCACACTATAGTTTTATTGACAAGGTGACAGAATTAAGACAAGAGAGAAGGGTGGATCGACTGGCGTATTTATACATATGTGAGAAATGGAGCTGCAAGAAGGCCCCCTTACGACACAGTTCCTCACAAGAGTACTGCAAAAGCTCGAGACGCAGCACACATAACAGGGAAGGCACTGCAATGGATCAGAGAATACTGACAGGGAGGAAACACGAGTCATGGTACCGCGACGAGGTGGTCCAGAGTGGCGCCTGTGACAAGCGGGGTCCACAGGGGTCCAGTCTAGGATCTGTGCTGTTCTTGTATACGTGAACGACAATAACGGAAAGGTATAGACTCAGAATTGTCCTTGTTTTGCCGACGATGTGAAGTTAATGAGAAGAATCCGAATCGGACAGGATCCGGGCAGGACTACAAAGGAGATCTGGACAGGTCTACATAGCCTGGTCCAGCAACTGGCTCCTTGAATTTAACCCTGCCAAATGCAAAGTCATGAAGATTGGGAAAGGGCAAAAGAAGACTGCAGACACAATATAGATTAGATGGTCAAAGACTGCAACTCCACTAAAGGAAATAGATCTGGGGGTGAGTATAACACCGAGCATTCTCCTGAGCGCAAATCAATCAGATAACTGCTGCAGCATACGGGCGCCTGGCAAACCTACGGATAGCGTTCCATACTCTCAGTAAGGATTCGTTTAAGACTCTGTACACCATCTACGTCAGCCCATACTGGAGTATGCAGCACAGTTTGGAATCCACACCTATGTCAAGCACGTCAATAAATAAGAGAAAGTGCAAAGGTTTGGCAACAAGACTAGTCCCCAGAGCTACGGGGATTGTCCTATGAAGAAAGGTTTGAGGGGAAATGCCTGGACGGACACTGGGAGGCCAGGAGGTCAGGGAACCTGAATAACGACATATAAAAATACTGCGCCGGAATAGATGAGGTGGACAAAGACGTGATGTTTCCAGAGATGGACACAGACACATGAGGTCACAATAGGAAGATGAAGACTCAGAATGAAATCAAAGGGATGTTAGAGTATTTTCTTCATTCATAGAGTAGTCAGCCATGGAATAGCCCTAGAAAGTGATGTGGTGGAGGCAGGAACCATACATAGTTTTAAGGCGAGTAATGAATAGAGCTCATGGGGCAGGGAGAGAGAGGACTCTATTAGTCAATCAGCGAAGAGGGCGGGGCCAGAGCTGTGACCGACCCCCTGCAACCACAAATAGGTGAGTACAAATAGGTAGTACACACACACACACTACACACACAACACACACACACACACACACAGTTCCTATGACATGGTGACAGCAGTAAGACAAGAGAGAGAAGGGTGAGTGGATTGCATTTTCTTGGACTGCAAGAAGGCCTTTTTGACCAGTAACCACACAAGAGATTAGTCAAAAACTGGAGACTCAAGCAGGGATAACAGGGAAGTACTGCAATGGATCAGGGAATACTTGACAGAAGACAGCAGCGAGTAATGGTACGTGGCTAGGTGTTCAGTGGGCACCTTGACCAGGGGGTCCCACAGGGGTCAGTCCTCAGGACCAGTTGCTGTTTTCTGTATTTGTGAACGATTAAAACATGCGGAAGGAATAAACTCCGAGGTGTCCGGTTTTGCAGATGACGTAAGTTGATGAGAAAGAGTTCATTCGATCGAAGACCAGCCAGAACTACACAGGGATCTGGACAGGCTGCAGACCTGGTCCAGCCACTGGCTCCCTGGAGGTTCAATCCCACCGAGTGCAAAGCCATGAGGATTGGGGAAGGGCAAAGAAGACCGCAGACGAGTACAGTCCTAGGGGCCAGAGACTACAAACATCACTCAAGGGAAAAAGATCTTGGGTGAGTATAACACCCAGGCACATCTCCTGAAGCGCACATCAACCATAACTGCCGATCATATGGGGCGCCTGGCAAACCTCAGAACAGCATTCCGACCCATCTTAATAAGGAATCGTTTCAGGACCCTGTACACCGTGTACGTTAGGCCCATATTAGAGTATGCACACCCATTTTGGAACCCACGCCTAGCCAAGCACGTAAAGAAACTAGAGAAAGGCGAAAGGTTTGCAACAAGACTAGTCCCAGAGTTAATAGGTATTTCCTAACCGATGAGAGGTTAAGGGAAATCAACCTGACGACACTGGAGGACTGGAGAGATAGGGGGGACATGGATAACGACTTACAAAATATGAGAGGAATTGACAAGGTGGAAAAAGACAGGATGTTCCAGAGACTGGACACAGCAACACTGGGACACAGTAGGAAGCT